GAAGGAGGGGAATGGATGGATAATTTCTGGAACTACACAATACATAACGGGGGATACTATAATTTTACAATTTTTGAATGAGAGGTTGGTAATGTTGTGGTAGATTTACTGCCAGTCCTTTTATCATCCATGTTGCAGCGAAAGCAGCTCATGTTGCGAGACGAAATTGCTAGTGCACATTAAGGAAGTATAAAATAAAACTATAGCTAAAGCATAAGCGATGGAAATGATATAAATCGAACACACATACACTCAATTGAAGAATCGTTGTTGGGTTCAGAAACATAGAACATAAAAGCTGAGACCGTAATGGCACATGGGAAATGACATAATTATGTTATAATTTATTCATTTGTGCCATCCATGCAGTCGGTTTAGAATGCCAAATGCGTATTCTGAATACCTGCGTTTGAGAGCCGTTTGCCACGGGTGACCTGTCACAGCATGCATCTAATTAGCGTACTTCCCGTGTGCCATTTCGGTCTCAGCTTCTATGTTCTATGTTTCTGAACCCGACAATGATTCTTCAAATTGAGTGTATACTTTATATATGTTGTAGGTAGGAATCAAAAGTTGATTTATCTGCCTATTTCTTTTTTTGAAATCCAAATATATTTTTACCTTTTTGGAGTTACATCATCATTCGATCCAAAACCTGAATCATTTTGATCCACTTTATGGACCATAGACGCCATGCCTACACTAGAGATAAAAATACAATGGAAAAAGTAAATTTCAACTAAAACACTGCTACCATGCTACTAAAGTCACTTTTTAGTCTAAGATTCTTTGAAAGGAGAAGGAAAGTTATAAATTATGAATTTTTTTCAGATTACCATTGAAAAAATGTGGCAAGTAGTCGCAAAAATTCAAGTAAGCATATTTTATGATGATGTGGTACTAGCTTTGATATATCTTAACATTTGTCTCACATTCATCAAAAGAGCACGGCAAAATGAGCTATTGGAAGATACTATTGGGTTATAAGGTGTATTATGCTTTTGAAAGCGCTTGATTAGGTATTTTTTACAGACGATAAGAGACTCAGGTGGAATAACAAGGTAGTTAATTCAATGTGGAAGAACTCGACATCACTTAAGTATGAAATGAAATCTCTTCACGCCTTCCAGGAATCTAAAAAAAGGATTATAGAATTGTATTTTGGCAAGTAAGTAATTGATTGGTTAAAAATACGATGCCAGTTATTTGGAGCTCTCCTATTGGTCAAAAATTACAAACATGCCTGTGCTTACCCATACCAAAATATTTCTTTCTTATTTCCCTGAACTGTCCTTATTTCAGTCTCAAGATTGAAAGCTTTTTATATTTATATTAAAATGAAACTTTGAAAGTGTTGTTGTTGAAGTCGCCTACATATTGCAGTAAATGTAGAAAAACTTTGAAAAAAAAAATTGAGTAGTTTGGAATTTACAAACATGTTGGTTATAATGCACTTGACATCAGCTTCCACGACGGGGGGACCCCGGGCTAGACCCGGGGAAATGTGGGTGGAAAGTGGGGACTTAAATCCTTGCCCCAGTACCTGGGGGAATAGTGGTAGATAGATAAAAATAATGTTCTGAAACCCCCTGGAAGCATTAGAGTTATTTGTAAAGAGCTGTTTTCAATAAAGTATTGGACTCTAAAGGTCTAAAAAAGCAAACAGAGGTATAAACATCGTTTTTTGTTTGAGTTTTTTTTTACTTTGATTTACTGGTATTGGGGTTGTTGTGTTAACCTACGCCGCTCATAAACTGGAAACTAGTCATGCACGAAATGGCGGACATTGAAGGTCAAGTTAACTGTAGCAGCAAGTGCAAGCTTGAGACAGATGCTGATTTAGCATTTCAGTAAGAGTTTCAGAAAGTTAAGATATTATCAAATGCTCTATTTGCTATACATGTTACTAAGATCAGTTTGTTTTATGGATTTAGTGTGTGCACTCTACTGTTTTGTGTTACTTTTGTGATCTGTTATTTCAACTCCATAACAATTTTTTTCCAGGGGCTGGTGGAATATAGAAGTATTTTCTAAGAAACCTTGCCCCATATCTGGGGGAATACAGATAGCTTTCCTCTAGGCTCAAAGCAAAGTCCCCACATTTGCCTGGGGTCTCCCCCCTTGTGGAAGCCGATGACAAGTGCATAACGAAATGTGTAGTTCCAGAAATTATCCAAGCTCCCCTACAGAGGAATTTGGAAATTCCAAGGGGTGGGAAAGTTAGAGAAAGAACAAAATTACAGAGTTTGTATGGAAAAAATTGGAATTTCTGGGGTAAGGGATGGGTCTTAAAAAATACTCTGTGGGGGGTATGGATAATTTCTGGAACTACACAATACTCCAAAAATACAGCTTTCTACGATGGCCGAGGAGGGCCACTTCCGACTTCCGAGTATGTGTGGCAGGGGACGGGACAAAAGTGTTCCGAGTATGCGTTGGGGGGAGGGGAGCAAAAGTAAAATAAAAGTAAAATGCTCGACTGATACTTTAGTATTTAGCTGTCAAACTTGTCGAAGCGATCTTGTACAGACCCCAAACTGAAACGCTACTCTTGCACAATTCTATGAGTTCATTTGAAAACAACAATGTCTTCAAGTCGGGCTTCGTTTCTTTGATTAGCCATTTTTAAATTCATTATTTGTAACCAACGTTTTACAGTTCAAAGCCCCATCGTAACACCGTGAACAGCAGCTAGAAACCCCAATATTTCGTAGTTCGAATAACCTTGAAGGAAGTAAGCTCGAATTAGCTTCTGTACATTTAACCCAGCATCTTGCGTAGCTGGTGTGTAAGCTGGTAAAACACATGAGAACAACACAAGTACAACAAGCATCATCGTGAAATAAATTCCTACTGGTTTAAAACACAGAAAGAGTAAGAAAAGCGATTGGGTACGAGTCGGAACTCAGAACTTGGAATTAAGGTAAATACTATTACAGTTATTAAGGTTTTCGAGTTCTTTTTTTAAATTTTAGGTTGCTTAGTGTCACCTAAACATGATACAATGTTGACTTATGAAGAAATATTTAAAATTATACAGCAATTTTGAGTAATAACTGTAAGTAGTCAAACTCAGAAGTCGGAAGTCGGAAGTGGCCCTCCTCGGCCATCTTAGCTTTCAGCTTACAATACTTTCAACCATATTTTTTTAAATGTTACTATTTCTTTCCATTTTTTCCCCATTGCTCCAAAGTGATTTATCAGCAGCTTTAGATAAAATTAGGAACTCAAAACAGCCAAATGAACTAACGTTACTGAAAATTTTCGTGTTTTTTTTTTTAATTTCTATGCTTCAAAACTTCAACGTCAAATTTCTCGAAAATGCTCTAACTGGTTTTTTCAAAAATTTTCTGAAACTTGAACAAAGCACTCATCCTCCAAAAAATGGGTATACAAGCAAACGCACCAACACTTACCAGCAGTTTTACAAAAACAAGCTCATTCGAAAACTTCATCTTTCCCTTAAAACCTTTGAAAGATTTCTCCCAAATAGATCGTTTGCATCCGCGTATTTGCGATTTGAAGTTAAAAGGTAGCGCGCCAAGAAAACCCTTATAACCGTTGCAAAATACTGTATCGTAAAATGGAAGTAAGCACATTTTGCATCGTGTGATTAATTCGTAATATTTGTCTTGTTTTTCATCAAGCAAAACACAGCAAAATGAGCTAAATGAGATCTGACTGATCCTTGAGTGTCACGAGGGCTGGTATGCTCCTGAAAAGGTTCTAATTCGGTCTTTTTTTACAGACAGACTCAATCAAGAAATATGCGAGTTGATGTGTTGTTCTCTCCTCGCTACGAGAATTTTTGGCCGGGTTTTTTATCTCCGTAAAAATGAACTAAATTCTAATCCGATCTCAGAATCAGATCTTAGAGGTCCGTATATTGGATAACTCTTTGTGGTTAATTCTTCTTTACCGACGTCTTTACGCTCTTTAAAAAGGCTATCCCAAACAACCCAAGATAATGCATATAGCGTAATGGAAGACTCGATTTCACTTATAGTTTGAGATCGAATCTTTTTATTTTCTTCGAAAGAAATCCCTAACGATACAAAAAAGCGTCTTCTTTACGTACCTTGATGCAGAAAAACGCTTTATGTGGCAAGTTTTAGAATATTTTCGAGGGAAAAAGTTGTTATAAACCTCTCTGCTCTGCAATCACACCAAAACTAACGCTCTTCGCGCCTTCCGATCCAAGAAGCTAAAAGGAGAATATAGAATTGTATTCTGGCGCGCAAGTAAGTGATTGGACAAAAACATGGCGCCAGCTGTTTGCAGCTCTCCTATTGGTCCAAAATTACAAACATGCCTGTGCTTGCCCATACCAAAATATTTCTTTCAGGGTGGGGTGAGTAAAAGATTATTGAAGAGAAAATGCAAGTAAAGTAAAAACAAAAAGCCTCAAGTAAAATTGATCTTATTCAACAGCCTTAAATGAAATAAATGAAAAATAAAACAACATATATATATATAAGAAAAAATGAGAAAAAGTTGAACATGAAAATGAAAATATATTTGTGAAAAAAATTCTGAAGTACAAAATCATTGCATATTTTTTTTCTATTTCATACATATTTATACAATTTGTCAAATAAAAGGCAGTCGATTAATCCCCTACAAGTTGTATCACCCGATATCATTGCACATTTTCTTTTTTATTTCAAAATTATATTTCTTTAGTCTTCTACAATATTGCTGCAACAGGCAGCACGTCTGGTGCTGAAATTTCGGTCATAAAAAAAATATTTTAAAAATATATCTTTAGGAAAATATTAGCTAAGAACCTAAATTTTGAATCAATGAGTCTAAAATTTCTAAGATGAAGCTCAATTACAAGTACATTTACATACAAACCACAATAATTTAGTTCAGCTATAAATTTAAAATATTGACAGTTGTACCTCAAAGGACTGATAATTGTTTTGCGTATATTCAACAAGTTTAATATATCACTAAACTAAACTAATTCTCATTATCCTACATAGAGGGTCTGATAAAAATCTCTAAAGGTTTAAAGAAGACCATGCTTCTAGTGTATAAATATAACTAAAAATCTCTTTTCAGATAACATGCACTATTTTTTTTCTAAAAACATCTCATTAGCCTATACAATGATTCATTCAGTAATAAAAACATTCCATGATTTCTTTTTTCAAAGTGCAGACATGATCATATTTCTACCATTTCTCTTCAGTGTTCCCCATCAATCTATTTCCCTTTCCTTTTTATCCAAAAATATAATATTCTAGTATTTTTTTCACAATCTGTAAATTATTTCCTACCAAATATTTTTCTTTCTTACTTAGAGTAAAGTCATTAAACCTGTGAAATAGATTTTAGACTAACACACATTAGTAGACCCTAATTGCATTGTTTTCTTTTGTCTCTATTTGACTATTACACGTTGACTAATAATTTTTATTTCATGGGTTTAATGCCTTCACTCTAAGAGAAGTGGATGTCAATAGGTTTAAAAGGAAACTATAACATTAAATTTTATTCCTGGTCAATATCAAAAACATCTTTTAGTGTCAGTGTAATAGGTAGAACACCTCTCATTATTTTCTGTTTGACATCCTCTACTATAGCAGACATCAGAACAACCTGTTCAACAACACTATCACCCTGATCCTGAAGATGAATCCCTCTTGAATACAGCCCTATCAACAGCTTTTCATTCATCAATAAACATGGTGAGCCTGACATCCCTTGTGAACAAGCAATGTTACTGTCACCAGCTTGCGGCACATTGTTATTGAGGACAACATGCTCAATATTTCTACGGCTTAAAGACAGAATAACCCTACTATCAAGGTTGCCTGGGTTATCGATGGGGCATGTTACATCTAAAGCCTTGTTTGACTGGCTGTGGTGGCCTATTAGGGTATAAAAGTTACCAGCGACCACATGCATATCCTGAGGTGGGATGCAATATCCACAAGAAGTAAGACTTCTTGGGAACTTCTGTGAACTGAGACTTAATCTTAGAATAGCATAGCCTAGCTCATTAGAAGTGCATAGTGGCTTCATTATAACTTTAAATCTATTTCCACCACTTTTGGAACTAAAGTAAATATAGACATTCTTTAGCCCTGTTTGACTGTAATATGCGTCAACTGCTAACCTACTGGTCAACACATACTCTGAGCCAATTCTACAACAGGTTCCAAGAAAAACCTCTGTGTTATCAACAACCTCAGCCACTACTGCACCAACTGCATCTGATACAGTATAAAGATCATCAGTATTCATGTGGAACTTGAATCTTGATGCAACATTGTCATAACCTTTGAAGAATTTCTTGATAAGAGTATTTCTTTCCTTCTCTGCTTTATTATCTTCTTCTTTTTGCACTTTAAACCTGAGTTTGCACTTGATGTAGTTTTCCAAGTCAGCATCGCTGCACAACTTGTAAGTGCGTTTGGAGTATGACACACTTTGATCAATAACCTCTCCTCTTCTTCCTACTTTGCCAGGTCGCACAGGTGTGACGCTCAATGGAATCAAGTGTATTCCACTTGCAGTATCTTCATTCTTGATACCATCTGAACTGATTAGTGTAGGTTTTTGTAAGGGTAATATCATCTCTGAAAGATCCAGGTCTGGATTTTTATTCTTGTACAGCTCAAAATATTTCCCCTCACAGCGTTCAGCTTTATTTCTAAGGGGTACCTCAGTGCCATCATCCAATTTCAAATACCACTTACGAAGCAGTAGTTCATCGTCACTTGAAACTTTTAGCCGATTGTCCCTGCCAATTGCTTCAAAGAGTGTTTCTTCAGGGACGAAATCCACTTGAATGACATCTGCTATTCTCGTTATATTCCCAACAGAAGGTTGAGACTTACGATTTTGGCTCAACTTTAAATAAAAACTCTTCAAATTCCATTCTGTCTCATACTCCTGCACAGAGTACTCCCTTATGCTATCGACTGCTTTTTCCTGCAACTTGTCCTTGAAAATGCATTCGTAATCTTCATCTTGGCCTAATGCCCCTGTAGGCTTGCCAAGGTTCAGGAAATACCCTTTTGAGCTTTTGAACATCATGTATTCTACATTCTTTTTGATTTGTTTCTTGGCAAGAGCTGTCTTAACCATATCAATGATTGTCTCTCTGCCATTACTCTGACACATTATTGAACAATTTTCTGATATTTTCACCCGAAATTCAAGCATCTTTTGAGGCTGTGAAGAACCATTCCTTGAAGGCCTGTGATAAAACAAATGAGATATTTTACTACACATTCAACATGGCACAGAAATATCAATGTCAGAATTATCAAGATTATCATAATCAAAGTAAAGGTTGTCTTATCTTGATATCCTCACCTTGGGGGAGTTGTGTTCAAAAATGATGCTTGTGAATTCGAAGCCATGTTTGGATTTCGATGTTCTAAATTTAAAAAAAAATCAGAATCGGTTACTGAGAGGTTTGATGAAAATTAGCACCAAGATAGCGAAAGTAAACATTCCAGCATCCACTTTGCGTCATCATTCAGCAGGGCCGGAAACCGTCCTAAAACAAGAACGAAACTTGAAAATCTTTTTGAAGTTTGGCAATTAAAATTATGAGTCAAAGAAAGATGGGATACAAGTTCAGGCATTTGAATTCATAAGCTTGCTAGAAGCGACGATAGCTTTTGACGCATTTGAACAACGTCAACTCTGCAAGGAATATTTATGAAACTTATGGCGTTTAAAAACACTTTTAATGCGTAAAAAAGGTGAAGTAATTCTCTAGAATGCAAGAGGATATACCTTGGATTTCTCTCGGTGGATAGAGTGCTGCAGAAACTTGAAGATGATGAAGAATTTTGCGATCAAATTGATGTAAGTATTTTTGGACAGTGGACAAACTTGAACAATTAAGGATCTTTGTTTTGGCGGGAACTCATCATATCTATGATTGGTTAAAAATTACGTCATTTTCTTCCAGAGAAACCACAGGGTACCCAGAATACTATGATAGCAGAAATTCATAACTAGTTATAGACTCCAGTAAGATAGTGAAGAAATATTGAGAAGAAATAAGAGAAAAAGGGTAAAAATGATAAAAGGGAACTCTTACTACTGCCCAGAGAACAACAAAATATAACATTCTCAATTGCTAGTCAATTTTCCCTATATGCCGCCCAAATGATTTTCAGAAGCCTCACAAATAAAGTAAAGTAAACGATTCTGTAATCAAGAAACACAGCGCAAAACTTGTTCAGAAACGTCGCAAATTTTTTCTTTACATGACAGACTAAAGTAATGTACGAGGTTGACGAAAATTTTGCAACTCTATCTCACGCATGAGATGTGAGATGGGAGGCCATACGAAAGAACATTTAAAGGAATGCAGCCTCTTTGTCTGTAGAATGCGCAACTCCAGAAACTTATTAGTAATAAGTCTCTGGCAACTCATAATCAAGCAGCACTGACTCGGCTCAGCCATGAGAAGCAATATTGATACTTTGCGAGCGAAGTTATTATCATTCATTTCCATAACAATACCGAATGTTGTTATCTTTATTCTTGTCTTGTTTACTTTAAGTATTGGTGAGTGACGTAGTAGCTGTCAAATCTTCAAAATGTTTAACTTTCGAAATTTTTGGAGTTTTTTCTTCAAGCAAGTAAACTTAATGGCATTTATTCTTTTGTAAGTCTCTTTGAAGTTAACTAAAAGTAAAGGCCAAAATTGACTCGATGACGATAGATAGATAGATAGATAGATAGATAGATAGATAGATAGATAGATACTTTATTAACGTGTCAAGAAAATAACTAGCTGAGGGAAAACCCTCTACTAATAGGGGACATCTAGTAAAGAACGATCCAAGTAAAGAACTGAAAAAAGCATTAGGCCTAATCCAGTACAATTTGACCTTCGTCTCTAGTGTCAGAAATCAGTTTGCAGATGCAACAAAGTACGGCGAGAATATTCAGTAATACGAAAAAGAAAAGAAAGGTACTTTCCAAAATAAGTACTGAACCACATTAGTTATAGGCTGGGAATTTGTTCACTTGTGATGAAAATGAACTTGTATTTGACACATGAAGGAAGAGTACTTGATAAAGCTACAAAAGATGACCCGAATGTCAAGCACTGGTAGTAGTAGGGGTATCAAACTAAGAAGTGATTGAAGGAGATTAAAACTACTCATCGCAATTATATGCTACTTCAATGTTATTTCTCAACGACTAAATCATCTGAATTATTATAACATTTTATAAATTCATGTTAAGTTTAGCAGGAAACCTCTCCATGCACTGAGCTCGTGAAGTCTATGACAACAGAATCATTTTGTCTCGAGTACTGTGGCCGGTTCAGTCAACACGATAAGCATCCAAGGGAATTTCGCCTCGTTTGTTCTCTAAACAAAGAATCCTGAGCTTTGTGTTGTCATTCATAAAGAAATGTTAAAGTGTCAATCAGAAAAAGTACCTGTTGAAATATTTAATTTCGTCGATAAACAACACCATTTGGGAGTGACATTGGTTAAAGAGCTACTGCCTTTCCTGTAGCGGCCACGGAAAAATATAGTGATTCGATATGGCCAAGATTAGAATAGCAATCTTCATATGCGGTTTGCTGGTTGTGGTAGGAATTTCTTGTCTGATTGCAGGTATTGTACTCTTGCACAAGAATCCTTCATGTGGTGAGGGTGAGCCCGCTACATCTTCTGCTTCAACTTGCAGCTATTCCGAGGAGGCGCAACGCGTTGGTCTGCCTGAATTCTTACAAAAAGTTCAAGACACATTTTATGATCTTCACCCGGAAAGAATAACTTTAAAACCGAAAGTTTCTAGACAAGAAATCTTGGAGAAATTCCGTTCTTACAACCCTTCGCCAGCACACCTACAACGCACAACGGACAAGTCATTCGAACTTCTTGCAGAAATACAAGGAAAGAAGATCATGAAAGAAAAACTGAAGCCTCGAGAACGAAAGGCTTTAGCGCAGGTCATCCATTATCTACAGCATGTTTTTGGGACGCCTTATGACGGGAACTACTACAACGGGGATTATCTCTTGGGACCCAACATGTTCTGTTGGCAGCCCATATGTAAAGTCAATAGCAACTGGGTGTCGGCTATAAATTCCTTCAAACCCTCTACAGCAGATGAGGTTCAACTAGTGTTGAATATGGTAAAGACCTTGAACCATACGTACACGCAGTACCGACACAACCTCATTTATGGAGGCCAAGCCGGTATGGTTAGGTCCATAGAGGACTGTGAAGCTGGTCTTCAAACTTTTTTTAGAAGTTATTCTAGCATCAGTGAGCCTAAAGGTAAGAGAATATCCACCGTTTAGACCATTATTCCGCCATCATCGTTTACTTTGAAGAAAAAGCAATTACTTGGCAGGTTTGTTTGCCCAGAAGCTTAACAGCTTTATTTGTGTTAGAACTTTGAATTATTAATAAATGAAATTAGAGAATAGTTTGTAGTTGCCGCAATCTTTGGGGTCATGTCAATTCTAAGCCATCTGATAGTTCATCTATCCGACTGCCAGGGTTTGTATCAAAACGACTAGTTTTACAAACCACTGATGCTAGTTGCGCAATTGTGTGCGCAATGACAGAACTAATTCAAAATATTAATTAATAATTCTAATTTTGAACCCGCAGACTTGCTGGTCGAGCGAAAGATTTTTTACGAGTTTTGATGGTTTTCAGTTTAACCAGCGTGTCGTCTTCACTGTTAGGAATGATTTTCAACCAAATATTCGTATTTATTCCTAATCCTCTCAAACATGTACTTCTTTACATCGGATTATTATTGCTTGTATATGCCAAACCCGAAGGCTGACGATGTATCCCGATGAATATAGCTATAATCAGCTCACTATTACCAGAGTTATTAATTAAAGCTATAGTTCATCTCATTTATCGATGATTCAGAGAAAACTCCTGATAAGTTTATGCATGATTATTGAAATCAAATCGGACGTCGCATAGAGGTTGATATTATCATTGATTCAGCATTTATGTCAGTACAGAGCAGAAACACTGGAAAAAAAGCATCGCACATGCGCAGAAGATAATGATCCACCATGCCGATCAAAAACAAAGTAATACCGAGAAAGGATTGATATCAACAGTCCATGCAATCTTCTAAACATTATATTTTGTATATTCGGGGATTAAAAAGGTTTTTAGGCATGGTCGAGGCATGGTTGCAATTTTTGCATGCGCAATGCGCTTTTCCACCAGGCTAACGTTTTCCATTTTGACGTAATCCCCTTCACTGTAAATCTAGAAAAAGTTATCGTAAGCGGTTGAAATTTCCTTTTCATCCCTCAGTTCCGTTCTCATCTCTTCCAATAACATTTCTCCTCGTTTTTCTCATCTTTAGATATATTAAATCATCCTATGGCAGCATGGTTGCTAAGCGACCAATTCCTGTCCAACCTCAGTAAGCAAGAAAAGGATAAATGGTTTGACAAGAAAAAGAATACCGTGAAGGATGACATCAGGGATCACGTGTTAAATTACATTGGCCAACCTTTACACGAGCTGATCACGTGCGTAAATTTCTAACCAATCTCTAACATTTCTTTAACTAGTTTAGTGTGTGCTGATCACGGACTAGTATTCAAGTGCGCCGATATGTCTAGTCTCCAACGCAGCCGCAGCCGCTAGGTAGCTACTTACTTAGGGGAGTGAGCGTTGCGTGACGACACTAATAGCGGTTGCGTAAGAGACTAGGGCATGTCTAACCAACCAATATTTTTCTAGGATACCAAGTGCAAGATATGAGAGGGCTGTTCAACTTGTAAGATCTATAGAGGTTATCTAGGAGTTAATCGCAATACTAACATGCTTTCCATGATCTACAGATATTTGAAAACCACTTACCTCGAGCACTGTGTACCTTGGAGCGTTTCCAGTGGATTATCAGGTCTGCCCTTGACTCATGTGTACATTAATGGGTCAAAAACCAACCAACCAACACACCCGTATTTACCAACTCGTCAACCACTTAATGGCTCCAAAGCTTATGATAATATTATGTCTTATTTTACTACAAGTGACATCACACCTAATGAAGTACATGAACTGGGAAAAAAGATGATCGAAAAGCTTTATCCACAGGTATTACACCAGGCTTGTTCCAGCTTGACCAATCATTGCCCAACACTCAAATGGCTTCTTCCACATCCACCAACCAATCAGTAAAGAGATAAATATCCTCCAATTATTTCTCGACAATACCACACGTTTCCCGCTCAAATTGAATTGGTTGAATTTTTTTGCGATGTGTTACGTCGAGTAAACCTGTTGCTATGAACTCTATAATCAAATGTTTTAAAACGAAATGTTTATTATTTATTTATTTTGATAAAAGTTATACTATTTTTATGAAAATGTTTTTGCTAATACCATTTTTTTTTTTACATTTTAAAGGTTCTCGAGTTGGCTAGAAACGAGACACAAACAAGCGATACTACTGAAGCAAAGAGAAAGTTTTACCTTAAGCTAAACGCTTCAGATATGTATTACCTAGATCCAAATGAAAACATCCCAGAGATTGAATCCAATGCAACTGCTTATGGAAGATGCAAAGATGACAAGAGTGCCGAGAAATTCTGTCCCGTTCGATGGAAAACCATCCAAAAATGGTTCAAAGATGCATACAAAGTACGTGTTGTTCGTAAGAAGTCGACAAGTAAACATCAGCGAATTTATGTAGAGGCGATGAGGCCACGGTTCTCTAGGCCATTTACTTTGAGGTTCTTGTTTTTCGTTAAGCTTTTTCTTTGTCCAAAATATACCCAGAACTCTCCAGAAAGAAGCTTTCCTTTATTGAGAAATTATGAAAACAGTAATGGTTAAAAGAGTGCTGAAAAGTGCTATAACTGGCTCCGTCGACTGGAAGTGAACGATTGGTGTGTTTAAGTAAATAGTCTTATATTGTGTGTGTTTTTTTAACAGATCATGAGTATGTTGGATTCCAAGACTGTCGATATGTTTTACTTCACTGGAGTAAAACACACCACGCCAAACTGTCCAATCAAAGTGGTTGCAAACTTCAATCCCGCAATGGGTGTGCCTAGCTACCGAGCCAGCACGTCAAACTGTGATGTTACTGCATCATATTTCATACCTTTCTTTCTGAGTCGACCAGGACCAAGGTTCACTCAGTGGAGTGTGAATGCACATGAAGCAAGACCTGGACACCATACACAGGTATACCAGGCTGACACTACACCATACACAGGTATACCAGGCTGACACTACACCATACACAGGTATACTACACCATACACAGGTGTACCAGGCTGACACTACACCATACACAGGTATACCAGGCTGACACTACACCATACACAGGTATACTAGGCAGACACTACACCATACACAGGTATACTAGGCAGACACTACACCATACACAGGTATACNGACACTACACCATACACAGGTATACTAGGCAGACACTACACCATACACAGGTATACTAGGCAGACACTACACCATACACAGGTATACCAGGCTGACACTACACATTACACAGGTATACCAGGCTGACACTACACCATACACAGGTGTACCAGGCTGACACTACACCATACACAGGTATACCAGGCTAACACTACACCATACACAGGTATACTAGGCAGACACTACACCATACACAGGTATACTAGGCTGACACTACACCATACACAGGTATACCATCATCATCATCATCATCATCATCATCATCATCATCATCATCTTCATCATCCCGACCACACAAGTGACTGAGCATATTACCAACCAACAGCAGAATGACCAGTTATTCCCCGGCGGCGACAGAAACTGGTTCCCATCTAACACACTACAATGTTTTTAGGTACAGGGTCTTGCCGAACATTTCCGTGACTCTTGCGGAGGAGTGATTGGCTGGCTTGGTGCGTTCACGAGATACACGGCGTTCATAGAAGGCTGGGGACTATATGCTGAGAATCCTCTTATCGCTGTAGATACAGACGTGTACAAAGACCAACCAATGTACAAGTATGGCATGTTAAGGAGTCAGGTAAGGTTTCCCGTGTTACTCTGGTATCTGACGGATTGCGTGACGACTGGAACATTTGTTACAATATATCATTCTTTCCGCGTTCAATCATCGGAAAACTTAGAGCGCTGATTGGCTGTTTGGGTGTAAATGGTCCAACGCTGGAGTGATTTTCACCCCAGAAAGATAGCAATTATCCTTAATAACCGATCTGGGTCTCCACCTTCGTGGAAACAGACGTCTTGCGGAGATTTTCTCAACATAGTTCATGACTGTTTCTTTGCCTTTCAGCTATGGCGCGCGATTCGTCTTGTGGTGGACACTGGGCTACACTACAAGGGTTTGTCCCGCCAAAAATCTCTTAAATACTTTGAAGATTACGTGTGGGAAACAAGTGACGTGGTCCAGAAGGAAGTCACTCGTTACCAAAGCAATCCTGGACAAGCTACTGCGTACATGGTTGGTCAGCTACATCTTATGAAATTACGCGAGCATGCGCAGAAGGAGTTAGGAAAGGCATTTGTTCTTAAAGATTTCCACTATCATCTTCTAAAATACGGCTCTGCTCCTCTCAGCTACATCTCCGAAAGCATCGATGAATACATACGATGCACGAAGAACAATAAAGATGTTGGGTGCGAATATGTACTGGCTAGGGAGGGGTCAGGGAAGCTTAAAGGATCTGATTACGTCACCAATATTAATAGGGATTTCCTTCCCTATCATATAACAGAGAGTTATTTTTAATAAGCTTACTTTTCTTGAATGAATGTCGAATATGCTCCCTTGTTGTCCTTAGTGTAATATTGAAGGATCAATAAAAACCATTCAAGTGACAATTTCAGTGGGATTGGTGTCAGAGAAATAATATTGATGATCCTATTTCATATTCATAAGAAATCAAAACGAAAAAAAGAAAAGAGAAAAAAAAAAAAAGGAAGAAAAAGGATGAGAAAGAGAGCAGCGAGACACCATTTTTCTCATAAGATGGGTTATATTGGCACACTAACGTGCCTGCCACACCAGCATGTCATTGATTCTTCTTATTTTCAGAAGTAACTACGTCTAGAGATATGGCTTAACTTGAAAGAAAAACCATTGCACAGATTTATTACTGCTCAAAAACTACTGACTCGACACTGTATCGATGGAAATCAATGAATAATGACAGCAAAAATCATCTGAGAGAAGTACATTCTTTGATGAAGAACCGATTTCGATTGAATATTGCTTCAATTACTCATAAGTAGAATTTTCAATAAAATTCGAATTATTATGCTAAATGCTTCTTATTAACATATCTCAGTGCAGCAAGTGATAATTCTCCCTGATATAGTTTTTTCAGTGTACGCTAATCAAAAAGCTAGTTTTGTTTGAACTCCCTTGAAGAGCAAAAGCCAACAAAACAAAACTCAAAAGTCTCTGTCTAAAATCTCGTCAACATTGGTGTTTTCAACGAGATACACTCCCAATATTTTTCTTAGTATCAACGAATGCTACATTGTGCAACAGAGAATCAAAAATAAGTGCAGATATGAAACTAGTTGCCATGGCGAGAACAATAATTCCTTCTTTTATTATCATCACGTATAATAATTATGTAGAGTCTCACCTGCTCGTGCGCATATTTGCCTCAGTATGTACTTAGCTTACCAGCCTACCTACTAACCTACGTGCAAACAATAAAAAGAACCTCCTTCAATTCAAAATACCTGTTCTTGTACGAAGTATTGGAAGTTCAAAACACCGTGGATGAGCACATGAGGATTTCCCTAAGTTAATTTGTGTTCTTGTAAGTATTTCTTAGTAGCAATTATAGAAGTATTATTAATACTATTTTGACTACATGTTGTATAGTATAACGACAACGCAGCACCAGGAAGGTTACTAATATAAACCATTGAATAATTGTTCGAGGTTTATACAGGCTGGAAACTGTTTGGCCGGATAAAAATCCATACGACACAGAACGAGTTTTTTGCTCACACGGAGAAGAATTTCTATTGACTTACTAAAGGTGGTTGCTAAGATGACTGAGCTATAAATACTCGTTCTATACAATATTAAACAGATTTACATAAACCGTCTTCGGTTTGCAGTTACATTTACGTACGAAACAAGCCTAATAGCTTCGTTGTCCATAGAACTATATCTTTCACTAAGAGCGGTTAGAAAAGCTTTTTGATTAAACAAATGTTTCTGAAAATTAGTCTTTAGGAAATGAAATTCAAAAATGATTCTGTATTATATAAGTGAATAAATTTGTCAATTACTCGCACTAGAAAACACTGAACACTTTCAAAGTGCTTCTTGTTTAATAGACGGCAAAAAAAGGATTAGGGTTGAAGGATGCGTTGGCCGCCATTTTGTTTTTGAGTCCTCTGGATGCAAAGATACAATAATTTGCGGAACGGAATCCCATAGCGACAAGATATTGGGGATTTCTTCACAAGACAGTTGCCATGGATACATCTTGATTTGGTGACAATCGATTTAGAATGTCACAGTTATCTGTAACCAGAAACCTCGCCAAATATCATGAAGATAAATACTTGACCGACACATGATAAACAACTTAACGAAAACAACTTTCAAACTTTCTAATATAAACTAACATTAACAAAAACCAACAACAACAACGACTGACCCAGTTTAAAATACATGGTAATTAAAAGAGAAGATGTAAAAAGAAAAAGAAAACGGAGGGAAAAAAAAGAAAAAGAAAACGGAGGGAAAAAAAAGAAAAGAAAAGAAAGCGACCGCACGCGAAGCCAACCCTGAAACAAGTACAGGCCTGGAATAAAACAAGCTCCAAAATCAAAGCATAAATATATGTCTTTAACATTCGCAACAGAATCGATCGAATTTTAAGGACAAAACAGGCAATCTCCGCTACGGCCCACGGTCTTATCAATTATTAATGAAATATCTTTGAAGCTCTAAATATTAAAGCTCCTTACGATAGCTTGTGTTTAGTGTAAACATATCATATTATTACGGACCGAGAGACCTCATGTAGAGTTTGATCAAAGACAGTAAGCAACAACTACGACAGAAAACACAACGTAGGTGTAATACTTTTACATTTTGCTTGCCAAATATCCTTGGTTGTGGATACAAAATTTAATTGCCGGGAAAAGAAAAAGAAAAGTTTTTGTTTGTTTGTTTGTGTGCCACAGATTTGAAAATTAACCAAATCCAGGAATCAAGATAAATCTTTTTCAGAACCAAAAAAACTCTTCGGAAAATCGATTATTTGTTAGCTAGCTGCTCGTTCAATATCACTTCGATCCTAGGCCATGGCATACCAAATATTCGTACTGGTTGTTCTGTATACATCTATCTATTCTTTAGTTCTAGTGACACTGACTCAACTAACCACTGTCGCTGGAGTTGGTTTTGATTGAAAGTCCGAAAAAATTATTTTCACAAGGTTTCGTTTGTTGCATTACTATTGATGACCTTACCACCGAAAACTGAAGCATTCATACGTTGGTCATGCGAAATAGTGATTTAGTATAGTCAAACCGTTCGGAGTCGGCGTTTTCTCGTTTTCGTTCTCAAGTGCAGATTTGATCTGCGTGTCGAAAGGAGTTAAAAAGAAAAAGATACTGCTAAGTTAATCATGAAAAAACGATTGTCAGTCTAAAAAAATTGAAGCAGAAAGAAAGAAAATACGAACAGATAAAACAAAGTTAAAGTTAGGAGAAAAAGATTGGTTCATATTCCGGCTTTTCTCATCGTGCCGCTCCTGAGATCAAACTACTTTAAGTTCTTTGGTTCCAAGCTCGATCGCGGAAGTTATTGCAGCCTAAATAGTCGGCGAATTGCCCGATATGAATCATAAACTTATGATTATTTATCGCAATATTTGTGCCTTGATTACCGGAATTCTACCACAAATATTCGAGGCGTTTAGCTCCCCCGTGCTAATGAATCGTTCTAAGCTTATCGTAGATAACAGGGGCGAGGCCTTCTCTGAGTTTTTAACGAAACACTATTGTTGTTTGATTCGTTGATAAAACTAAGTAATAAGATACGAAAACACGAGGAAAAAAGAGAAATCAGGCATGACGCGCGTGCTCTCTTCCAGCTTTTTCTTTTTAGCGGTGATATTGAACTATTATTTAGACTATCAGTGACGAGCAGTCAGCGTGTCTTGCTCTGACTATAAATCAACTTCCTAAGTTTTAACATAGCAACAACGGATAATCACAAGTGACGAAAACCAAAACACCTGAATATTGTGTTAGGATTTATAACTTGTGTCATATGGAAAACATATGAAAGTACTCAGTTACTTATTGTTTTTAATTCTCACAATGAATGAAAAAAAAAAACAAGGGAGGAAAATCTCTCGAGGCGATATCTAAAATTGTTTTCTTTCCGATGTGATTATTTATTTTCGCATATTTACTTATATAACATTTTCCTCTTATTCATTTATAATAACTTGAAAATAATTTCGTCGGGTACTTTGCGAAGAGAAGCCAACCGGCTCCTTATAGCAAAGAGGCAGAGAAGAGTAAGCCATACTTGTCTTATATATTTTTTCTTAGTCTTTCTTTCTTTTTTTTGTGAAGAAAATGAAACAGTTTTTAGCGAAATTCACGCAGAAAAGTAAAACAGTATCCTGGTAGTCAAAAGTCAACACTTTTTATTGATAATTTTTAATTTGCAAGTCCAGCAGATGTCGTTATATCAACAAAGACTGACTTTACGATGGTACATCTAATAAGGGCTTTTCTTTACATAATGATGTTACTATAGCAACCCGACCAAAGCCTCCAATCCTTAGAATCCACTGGAGTTCTCGTATAAATAGCAGCCAAAAATACTCTGCTCAAAATCCCTGTCAAATTTCCCATTCAAGTTAAACCTTTTGATCAAAGTTGAATTTTTTTATTCCTTTTTTTGTGCTTAGGGTTAGAGGTTCTAAGGTCAGTCGTCAGTATAGTCGTCTTGCTGGCTGTTGTTCACGGGAGTTGAACTGTGACGTTGTTTAGTTGGTCATTAACTGGTCCAAAGAAAAACCACAGATGCTAATGATGATTACCATTGAGACAAGACTAGTACGGGTCTTTAGTTCAACCTCACACTGAAGATCTTTTGCTGTACTTCGAGGAGTCGTCGATACTGTTCGTCATATCAACGGAAGAACGCGTTACATCAACATTAGCAAGTACAGCGCAAACCATGAAATCGAATCATCAATGGATAATTCAAAAATCGTGAATACATTCACAGGACTTCCATCTGAAGGAAGATCAAGCAAGTGTTTTAGTTAATGTTGATTACTGGTCAACATGGTGTACATTACTAACTATACCAATGGTTATATTGTGGAATACTCTGCACCTTGTTTTGATAGTTGGCTATTGATCCCAGGAGAGAATCTCTGGCGTGCAGGTCTACGAGGGTTTCTCTACACATTAGCAATGTTTTACCTTTTTCTAGGGATTGCTATAGTTGCAGACATATTCATGGGATCAATTGAAGTAATCACAAGCAAAAAACGAAAACTAACTCGTTTCGACCCCGAGAAACAAGAAAGTGTTGAAATAGAAGTGTTCGTCTGGAATGAAACCGTAGCAAACCTAACTTTAATGGCATTAGGATCATCAGCACCCGAGATATTATTAGCTGTCATAGAAACCATACAAGATATATCGTCCGACGGTGCTCAAGGCGCAGACCAAGATGGACTCGGTACCTTCACTATCATAGGCTCTGCTTCATTCAATATGTTGCTCATAACAGCTATCTGTGTAGTAAGTGTCCCTACTGATACAGTCAAACGTGTCAGAGAGTTTGGTGTATTTATTTGGACTGCTGTATGGTCGCTATTTGCCTATGTGTGGCTTCTCATCACCCTCAAGTGGGTATCACCAGATGAAGTGGAAATCTGGGAAGCTTTTTTAACTCTTTCGTTCTTCCCTTTACTGGTGTTCACATCGTGGTGCCAGGATCATGGATGGTGGTGTAGTAGAAGAACAGGCAAAGTCCTTACTGTCGAGACCCCAGAGGTGAGTATTTATTAGTAAACCTGTTTGCCGTATCATTGTTTATACTTTTAACGCACACTTTCTAAACTTACAGTTTGATAAGTTTTCATTTCCATGATAATGAACGTAGTTTAGATCTAAGATGCTTTAGTACTGTCTGTAAATTAATTTATTTGATCGATCTTATCATCTGATCTATAGAGGGTTTATAATGTTTTCTTAAGCGGTTGATAAGGATTAGCGTCGACCTTCTCCAGGCAAATCAGCATGCGTTATATAGAACCATTTGCCTCAAAACTTTACATTATTAAAAATAGGACAAAATCCGTGAAATAAATAATCCTATATTTTGGAAATTTCTAGGTAACTGGTCTAGACGTGTATAACCTATTAAGGTCTAATGTCCTAGGATTATTCTCGATAGATATTATAATCTCTGCAGGACCAGGCAAAATCGACCTAAGACACGGGGGTAGATATATAAAAGAATGATTGATTGCAGTCTTCAATAACGACTGCCAAATATTCTTGACAGGATATTGACAATATATCTTTTTCACGACTGCGCTTCGTGTGGGTATGGTGTAACGCTGTTTTTCCTCGCAATAGGGTTCACACCGCAGCTGCACCATATAAATATATGTATAATCTTGCCCGTAATTTAACGCCAATTGTTTTGAGAGCAATACAACTAAACACGCAATAAAAATATAAAAGAAATAAATATAATCATAAAAAAAGAAGGAAAAAAGAACAAAGAAGAACAGAAAAGAAATCAGAATATCTAGAATACGAGCGTGGGGTTAGTCCCTGGTTAGTTCGTTGTCAAGTGACTGATATTAATTGATGATTAATTCCCGGGTCCATTACTGAACGAATGAACACTCCATCTAGACGTGAATGAATAAGTGTGATATATCTGGCAATAAGTCCTCAAAGCCCATAAAGGTTGAAGGATCTTCAGTTTTCTACTTAACATTGATAAAAGCTTTGTTTTTGCCAAGTAACGGAGGTGTTATTCACTACACTGTTACGCATGAGTATTAGACCGTTAAACGTATTTATTTCATCTTGTGTACATTTGTTATACATTATATACCGATAACGAGAACCACAAACGTGTAAGAAAACGAAAAAAATGGAAAGCAAACAAATACGAGTAGCAAAAGATGTGGAGCCGTGATCGTGTTATCTTAACCCCTATCATTACTCATTATTATCTGCTATAATCCATTTAAAGTATCCCTGTTGTGTGGTCGTTATGGTAACAGCGGTTATTAAGATAGATAATGCATTATCAATGAACCAAGTATGGTATGTTCGTCCAGTAAGATGTACGGATGCATGAAGAACAAAACGAATGTTGATATACACTGGATTACTGATGTATATCAAGTCTTATTATGTAACACCTTAAGTCATCGCCTTCACGTGCCAGTGATAATAAGGCACGTGACAAATAGTCTTAATACTTGTACACTCTATGCAAAATGTGTGACTTTCACGTGACAAATAGTCTTAATACTTGTACACTCTATGCAAAATGTGTGACTTTCACGTGACAAATGGTCTTAATACTTGTACACTCTATGCAAAATGTGTGACTTTCACGTGACAAATAGTATTAATACTTGTACACTCTATGCAAAATGTGTGACTTTCACGTGACAAATAGTCTTAATACTTGTACACTCTATGCAAAACTCTTAATTATGATTATTAATAAACACAAAGCAATCAATATTAAGTATATAAACTCATTAAACTCATAAACTCATTAGTATATAACTGAATATCTCATAAAGCGCATTTAGGACACAGTTTACAGCTATCACCGATGTATATAGGCTGCATGGATGCGCGCATGCTAACGTGAGCAGGCTTAATAAGACTACCACCTTGGAATCAGATGAATGAAAATATGTCTAACTACATCACTCACCTAGAATGATTTTCATATGACCGTGAAAGAAAATAGACCATTTAGTTTGTAATAGTTGATAAAGAACAAAAGAAAATCATTGGTTTAGAGTCTACTACTAACTATTAGTTTGCCTATTCTTTCACGATCATATGAAAATCACTCTAATGCTTTGTGTTTACAGGTGAGGGTAGTTGGTTTGACAGAACGACGGCAAAGCCACTTAATGATCCATCGATCGATGGAGCTACGAGTGTTAGAACAGCAAAGACATAGTGTAAGGTACGTAGATCTCTTTCCTGGATTGCTGTAATATAGGGATTCAAGTAATCAAATAATACCTTTGACTCAGGGTAAAGCAATAAAATGCATGCGCATTAGGCCGGGTCATAACATTCATTTCAGTTCTACTAGGAAGGGCAAGGGGGCTGGGGCTTTAACAAACATCCTAACCCCACATCATTTAGGACTTATTTTTTACATGACCACACTTTTCTATAAGTCTAATGCTGTATATAGTAGATGTGTAGGTGCAGTAAGGTATGGAAGTTACATATATGACATGATAGATGATTGGTTTATACTTTGATATTCTTTTGTCTTTTCTTTTCCAGCGAGAGAGATTTGAGAGACTTACCAAGAAGCCGGGATAAACTAAAGTAAGGTTTCTTAATAGCTGCCACTCACACGACCTACAAAACAACAAACAAATCAGTAACAACTAAACTACCATAAATGTTTTTGAGCATTGTGTGAAATTAACCAACATTTACGCTCGGTATTCCAGGGAAGTTGTGTCGCTATGGAAACTAAGAGGGCAAAAACCAGACGCGAACTCGAATGAAACAGCAGAAAGTTTAGCTCACGCCTTGAAACATATCAAAGAAGTTAACACACAGCCTCAAAACACGACTACTGCAAGACTTAGGTAGGCAAGAAAACAGAAAAATATTGTTTCATTCTTCCATCTTCAATGAAGAACACCTTTGCGACACTTCAATTTCGCTATTTTGGAGGTCGCAGATTTCGCAAATCGCGAAATCGCGCGAAAATCGTTAAATCCCGAAATTAAAATGTCGCAAAAATTTCATGCAATGAAGGTAACAATAATCGCTGGTTTTATTTTAGATTTCGTCATGCAGCACTTCACAGCATCACAAGGAGTAAAGCCAGGAAAATAAAAGAAAAAGAAGAGAGTGAAAGTCAAAAGGCGATGAATGTTCTCGCCAAGTCATTCATTGGTTCAAAGCTTACTGGAACTTCCACACTTGGTAAGTGATCAGTTTCATCAGTAATACTGTCATCCATTCCGAGTTTGAGGAAAAGTTGGGTCGAGTTGGGATCGCAGAGCATCATGGGACTGTTTTAGAGAAAGAAATAGACGCCATCTTGGAAATATGTCCCCCGAAACAATCCCACATTGCACTGCTATTTTCATTCAGTTTAATTACTTCACCATATTGCTGCGCAACGCGTTGCGCATGACATCATACAGTATGAGATCGCTAAAATAATGAGTGTTTTAAAAGTTAAACATCACATTGAGCGAGATTTTCTTTTTCATTGTCCTTTCAGACGAGGCAACGCAAAAGTTCAACTTCAGTACCCAGTCTTACTCGGTCCTGAAGAGTGCAAAACACGTGGATGTTGACATCTTGCTGCTGTCAAACAACAAGAGGAGGTTATCTTATAAATAAATATATATATAAATATATATATATAATTCTCTGTATCTACTAACCTTAATTAAAAACGCTTTCTAGTAAATACACAGGAAACATTACTTCTAAGTGTTTTTGTTCGGTGCACTTTTAATGTACCTGGCGTACTGTCCCTAAGGGGAGAACAGGGAGTCGCTTATCCTTGTGATTTATTGTCCATTTATCCATTATCTACCTTAAGCTCTTGCTGAGCGCAAAGCGAGGAGGCTGTAAAAACAGCGATTTGATTATCTAACCGGATAACACATCTTTTACGAAGCATTGAACGTGTAAATATAGTTTTAGCTGGGTAATGAGTACTAGTTTTATCGAGTACTCATATATCAATACTATGTTGTATGTTACAGGCCGTCTCGTGTGAGCTCTCATAAAGCACTCATTCCTCTCCCTTCTCCATACGACCCTGCCACACAAATAGATGAAGGAAAATGTGCCAAAATGAACAGTGGCCATGGAAATATGGTAAGACAAACCAGCTATCCTATCACGTGGTTATTAGCCTAGCATCACGTGATAACACTATTCTGCCATGTGACTGTAGCAATAAGGTTCTCCACTAAGTCATAGATACTTTATCTATAGATTACAGTGAATGGTATTCCTATCA